TTGCGCGCTGTGGTCAGTCGATTTCTCAGCGGATGAGATGGACAAGCTGCTATTTTTTACTGGATTTTAGTCTACAGTAGGATATACCAGCACAGGTGTGCTGTGTGTTGACACAATGTGATGTTTCCTGCTTTACAATCTAATTCTTTCTACCATTAACACAGTCCTTGTTGTTGTCCTTGGGCCTTGGTTCTTTATTGAAATGCGGCTTGTGAGTCACAGGGCGAGTTGCAGGTTTTTTTTATACCTTCACACCTTACATGTCAGTAAACACAGGAATCATTTCCATAATCCAAGTGGTGGGTGCCACTGTCACTCGTGTTTACAGCCCGGGAACCTGAGACTCAGGAAGGCAGTAACTTCTGTAGGTCTCCTAGATGGTCAGTGGTGGAATGGGGTTTGAATCCTTTTTCTGACCCCAGGTCTTGAACTTGTAGCCACTGTGCTTTGTGCACAGTCTGGAATGTAGCAGGTGGTGGGTCAAGACTGTCCCTAGAATGGAAGAAAAAGCCATCCTCCAGATGTCCTCACTGGGGTTTGCAGCACCGCACACAGCACCAGGATGCCACCTCAGCAGGGTTCCACTCTCCATGGTGGCAGGGGTAGCTGGAGTTGTGGGGCCCCATCGGGAGCACTGGGTCATACAGCGTCCCTGTCATCGGGGCTAGCTGGCAGGTCCAGACACTTGGGTGACAACCACCTACCTGTAGTACAAGTACCGTGAGGGAAGCGTGGTTAGGGTAAGGAAATCCCAGAGAGGATGGGAGAGCCCTGGGGGCTTTGGAGGTAGATCCTACAGGCTAGGCATAGTTTTGGTTAGGGAGGAGCCTACTTATGGTCACGAGCTCTTGCTCTAATGCCTGGATTGCTCCCCACCCCCACGTCTGAATCAGATGACACATTTCCCTCGGTGTCCAGCAGGCGAGCAGAGCTGGCCAGGGGGCTGCAGGGTGCGAGCTGAGGGCTCCCTGGCCAGTCAGGGTGGGCCGATCCCACCCCTACGAGGAGTCCTTTGGGAGTGTGGGCTCTCATGGACAGGAGCCAGGCCCAGGGGTCGGGATTCCGGTCATGCTTGGAGGGTGGTGTGATTCCTGGGGCTGGGCTTGCTGGTCTCCCCTGACTGCAAAGTGGTGTTTATGCCCTTT